GTTACTCAACTAAAACCCAACTCATGCACAATTTTAAATAAAAGTTCATTGTTAAACTTAGAAATGAGTAAATGATTATTTAATTTATTAGAGAATAAAAGAAAAATGTAAAGTAATTGAAAACTAAATTCATTAACTAATTATTGATCAAGAAAATAATTTTCTAGAATATAATCATATCTGATATTCTACCTCCTCACACTTAAGCTGGACCTCGTCCTCGAGGTCCAAATGCGGGATGCAAGTAGAAAATCAAAGCATGTCAATCTTCCTCACATTTAATGTGAAGCATATGATGAGAGGCAAGATTTTAATGATCATAAAAAGTTAAAAATTTGGCTAAGATTAGAAATAAAAAGCTATTTTTAATAGAAAATTATTTTAAGCATTAAAACACTTTTTGGTGCGAAAACGGCAAGGCTCATTGTGATGGCTTCTGTTCGTTTTCCCTGCAAAAGAAAAGAAAACAACAAAACAAAGGAAAAAAACAAGTGCACAGTGTGTGAAAGTGTGAACAAGAACTATTGCTAATTATTATTATTATTATTATTATTATTATTATTATTATTATTATTATTATTATTATTATTATTATTATTATTATTATTATTATTATTATTATTATTATTATTATTATTATTATTATTATTATTATTATTATGACGGGTTGCCTCCCGTTAAGCGCTAATTTAACGTCATTAGCTTGATGCCATTATTCTTAAACTTGGTAAAACAAATATACCTAACGGAGCACTCTCCTCGAGAGTCCCCAACTTTTTCCGAATAACCACCGTAAGGTGGCGCAGACCTAGATATTAGTGAAGCCAAGGAATAGTGAAAATTCTATAAAAAGAACTGATCACCCCCAAGCATAAAAGATATTCTAATAAAGGTAAAGCCTTGGGGATGCTCGACTTCACGAAAAGTGGTTCAAAGAGACCCTTTTTTTGTGGAAAAATCTTCAGTGAGTCAAGGTCTCTTTGAATGATTTTTTCTAAGGGACTCTCTTCAAGATATACATTCTGGTCAAATTCAACAGAGCCCCCTAAATGATCAATGCCCTCGGACTTTTGTAAAAATTCTACCTTAAGTTCACTTTTATGTTCTCCATTTCCCTCATTGAGAGACGAACAAACAAGTCCTTGATCGTCTCTTTTCTCTTCTATACCTAATGGAGAAACATTAAGGTTTTCCTCGGGCATTACTCCCTCCAACCCATTATTGTGATTTTCATTATTTACTCGAACAAGAATACCTTTATCAAGCAAGTTTTTCAATGTTTCTTGATATTCATTTTCAAAATCAGCCCAAAGATTTTCTTGTTCGAGATAATATTCATTTTCATCAAATTCCTCATATTGAGGTGGTTGGCCTAAAGAAGGTGTTCCTTCTTGCGCTATGTTTGATTCAACAATTTTATCCATCTCAATTTCCTCATCCTCAAATTCATTAGCTAACCATTCATTGTGATGAATTTTATTAGGTTCATTAGGTTTGAATTCTAATAATGCATAGAGATTTCCAATTTCCTTAAGAATTTCTTCTTTTTCGTTATTGAAAATCTCAAGATTAGAATTAGAATTTAGAGAAGAATAAGGAAAAGTATAACAAAGATCACCTTCTTCATTTACTAAACCCTTCTTCTTAAGAAATTCATCAAAATCAAGGTTAGTATATCTTTTTAATTCTATTTGCCCAATTCAATTTCTTATAATGCGATCCATGTCATTTTTTATTGATTTTAATTCATTACTAATCGCATCAAAATTATTAATAGGGCAAAATGAGGAATAAGGAGAGGAATAATTCTCTTGATAATCAAAGTTACTGTAAATCTCCTTCTGCTCATAATTATTTTCATCGAAGAATCTAGAGGGATTATTACAATAATTTTGATTATCATAAAAATCACAATAATTATTTCGATAATTTGGTAAATGATCAAAATTATTAAAATTTCTCCCATGATCATAATCATCAAAATAATTATTATTCATAAGAGAATTGTAATGCCAATTGTTTTCAAAATCTTGATCATTACCAAAATTATCTTGTGAACAACCAAAATTACCATTATCATAATTATTCCACCTATTACCATTAAATTGATAATCATTTTCAATCATAGGTGGATTTTCATAAGGAATAGAAAAAACCCCAGGATCTTTGCATTTTTGAGGCATTTTATTTTGAAAAACAGCACTAACATTTTCACTCATTTGGATTTTTTCATTCCCCGAAAGTCTTTTCTTATTAGTGCACAGCTCTTTTAAGAATTTTGCATATTTAGGCACTTGTTTGATGGCTTCTAAGAGGGGCAAATTGATCTCTACCTTCTTAAAGGTATCTAAAAGTTCTTGATCTAAGGCTTTATTCCTAGACTTTTGGCTAAGGAACTTACTCGGGAAGGGAGCTTTAGGTCTGACCATGTCTTCTACCCTTTCCCCTTGGTCTGAG